AGTAGCGATGCCAGGAGCCCCTAGTAGCTTCTTGTTCCTAGTAGTAATGCCAGGAGCTACTAGTAGCGTCCTTGCTCCTAGTTGCGATGCCCTTTGTTCCTAGTAGCGATGCCAAGAACCTTTAGGATAGAAATGTAAAGATTCTGGTTCTTGTGGCCAAAAAGAAACCTTTAAGCTGACCATGGTACACATGCGCCTGCACGTCCTGTTAGTCTGTCAAAAGAACATCTGCGCGAAGTGCAAGCAAATGGCCTGCACAAACCTTTGAATTCCGTTGTTGCCTGTGGCCTCGCATCAATGCTACCTTGCTGCCTGCCTTTCACTTTTTAGGGTCCGCCGTGCATTGTTTGCCCTGCTTTGCCTCTCGTTGTGTTGTTTGTTTTCATGATGACGTGCGAAGCGAATCCAGTTAGGAAGGTGTGGTAGGCAATGAGAAACTTTCACAGTGTCAGAAAATGGGTGTCAGCTCTTGCTATCCAGTGGGTCACGATTGTGTTCAGAAACTCGACGGTTGTATTCGGAAACTGGACGGTTGTTTTTGGATACTTCGACCACAAAAGAAACTCTCTGTCTCTCTCTCTCTCTCTCCTTCTTTCTCTCCCTTTTCCTCTCCTCTCTCTTTCTCTCTTTCTCTCTCCTTCCGGACAAGCAAGCCACTTTCTTGAGCTAGCATGTCACGTCGGATTCATGCCCACCCCTTCATGCTAGAGAACACAGCAAGTGTCCACGCAACTATTCACCAAAGTTTGTTCCCCTTGCCCCACTCTCCACACCACCCCATTTTTTCATGGTAGAGAAGACATCAACATTCCACGCAACTGTCCACCACCCCGGACCCCACCCAACCCTTCATGCTAGAGAACACATCAGCTGTCCACGCAACTGCCCACCTAAGTCTATTGCCCCTGGCCCCAACACCTTTTTTGCTGGAGAACACATCAAATGCTGCGCATTGTTTCGGACCAATTGTTGAATACGACAAAAATATTAATACAACGGAAATACAGTAGTTTCAGAATACAACGAACAGAGTTTCTGAATACAACAAAATAGTTTCTGAATGCAACGAAATAGTTTCTGAAGACAAGTTTCTGAATACAGCGTCTGAATACGACTTTGTTCCTATCCAGTGGCTATCCGCAACCTCAAAACTGGTTCTCATTGTGGGGCAAAGACCTATCAACAAAATAGAGTTCGCTGCAAAATGTTTTGCTTTTGTTCACAACGCTGTTTTATATTTCTGTTGAGGGCCAAGCCGAGTTTTTGTTCCAATGTGGTCTCTAGGGGGTAGTTCAGTCCTAGACCTACGTCGAACATACAGTAGCACGTATCCAATCTAGCTATGATTTCTAGTTGAGACACCTACCTTGATCTGTCTCGACAGGCTATGTCCATGAGTCAAACTCCCATGTCTCGATCGGGTTTGAGTCCTTGGCTTTGACCCACGGCCAAGTCGCTTTTTGACCAGTGGCATCTAGACAGCGCTTTCGGCAGTCAATCGGACAGCTAGATTCAGAACAGACCTCCACCAGTGTTGGCACCAAACAAACCTCCACCAGTATTGGCACCAAAGAGTCCCCCACCAGTGTTCTGACCGAACATGCCTCCACCAGTATTGGCACCGAAGAGTCCTCCGCCAGTGTTCTGGCCACCGAACATGCCTCCGCCAGTATTGGCGCCGAAGAGTCCTCCGCCAGTGTTCTGGCCACCGAACAAGCCTCCACCAGTATTGGCACCGAAGAGTCCTCC